GAACCAATTACAGGCTTTGTCTGACCAGCCAGCTGTAATGAATCAATAAGAGGGTAAATTGGATTAAGTAAATTGCTTAAGAGCTATTTATTTTTATTGTCATTACTTGTGACCCATAGCTGTGATAATCTATTAATTATAGAATAGAAGAAGAAGAAGAAGAAGAAGAAGAAGAAGAAGAAGAAGAAGAAGAAGAAAGTATAATTTAGATTGTCTCTCAAGATAAAAATCACGAGGCGCTTCACAAAAACAAAAAATGTAAAAATATAAAAAAGCATTTAGAAAATCTTTAAAAATATATTTAAAATGAGCAAAAATAGGCAATTGTGATTTAAAAAATGTTAAGAAAGAGAGAAAGTGAACAGGAAAGAGGGAAATCAGTGGATCCTGAGGAAGGTGGAATAGGTGGGGAGAACAGAATAAAGAGAGAGTGGTGAAGAAGGTCATACAAAAGCCAGCTTGAACAAGTGAGTCTTCAGCTGCTTTTTAAAGGAGTTCACTGAGTCCACTGATCTCAGGCTCAGGGGGAAAGAGTTCCAGAGTCTGGGGGCCACAGCAGCAAATGGTCTGTCACCTTTGATCTTTAGCCTGGTGCTGAACAACCAGTAGGCTTTGATCACTGGACCTCAGGGACCTCAGGGAGAATATCACCTGCTTGGTCTTTAAGATGATTAGGCAGAAGATTCTAAGACTCTGTTTATTCAGGGACTGTCATCACTTCATTTAGGATTCAAGAACCAGTCAGGTTTGCAAACAAAAACATTTTTTTTACAAACAATTTAAGACTTGTCAAATGGTTTAAACCAGGGGTGCCCAATCCCGGTCCTGGAGGGCCGGTATCCTGCATGTTTTAGTTTGAACTCTGTTTCAGCGCACCTTATTTCAACCAGCAGCTAATTAACAGGCTTCTGCAGAACCTGATAAGCTGCTGCACAGGTGTTTCAACCACTGAATCAAGTCTGTTGGAGCAGAAAAGCCACAAAACCTGCTGGATACCGGCCCTCCAGGACCAGGATCGGGCACCCCAGGTTTAAACTATTATTTACTGTGAATGGATGTGAACTAAGAGATGGGTGTCTGGAAGTAGGTGTGAATATAGTATTTCAGAGTCGGTATCATGAGAAAGCTGAATCCTGGATGGAGGAAATTTGGTTTGCAAGTAAGCTACAAGCTGTTATATATCAAACTGCATACAGATGCTATCTGCGTGTTTAGGTTATCCATAGAGGCACCCTCTTGACGCTAACAGCATAGCTGACATTTTAACACTAGTCAGAAGGCAGGAACTGCCCCCTCCTCCCTTGCTGCTCTCTCATTGGCTGAGTTTTCAATTGTCTTCTGCTTAAAAGGAAATATGCACCCACACATATGATACATTAATTCAACCTGCTTGGTCCTAGGAGTCTTGTATTAACTTGATATTGTGTTCTGCGTTACCATGGCAACGTGCTTATCAACAAGATTTAATAACATTTTAGACACAACTGTATCAGCATACTGTAAAATAGAAATGTTATTCAAAGTTTAAAAGAGTCATGCGACATTGTACATTGCTTTATTAATGCAGACTCCTCCCATCTGTTACCATGGCAACACAAGGAACTACAAATCACTTTAACCAAGTCTCATAGGAATGAATATGAAAAGCTGAATATTGAGCCAATAACAGACTTCTGTTTTTGATCTTTTTGAACTATCTGTACTTAAAACTAGAAACTAGTTAAATTTGATTGACCGTCAGAAGGTGGGAAAGTGCCCCGCTCCCTCCCAGCTCCCTGATTTGTTGAGAGAGGTCAATCATCTTCTGGCTAAATGGAATTACACACCCACACATGTGGGACATCAAATCGATCAGCTTGGCCTAAGGAATCCATCCACATATAAATCCATCCATGCTTCTATCCATCCATCCATCCATCCATCCATCCATCCATCCAATAAACCATCTAACATCCATCCAACGATCCATCTATTGTTTCATTCATCCAACCATTCATCCATCCCATATCAAGTCTGAACATATGTTAATCTGTCAGTTTCAGATATCAGCAAATATTTCTAAATTCACAGTTCAGCCAATTGTAAAAATGTACCCATTCAACTATTCTCATTCAAATGCCAGCTTTTTAACATTTAAAATTTCGAGTTTTTAATCAATGTTCAAAGATTAAAGTTTTCTGCTGTTTAGCATTTTTTATCCATTCTTCACCTATATTCTGAGCTTTATTACACTTGTTGGTGATTTTTGCTTCTAAATCTTTAAATACATTCAGCTCATTTTGACAGTTTAGCTTAGTTTCGGCTTCACTTCAGCTATTTAGCAGCTTCAGCAATCAGTTTCTGGTTTCAGCATCTGATGCAAATGTCACAGTTCAGCTAAATGTAAAAATTAAACTGTTAAGCTAGTCCTACTGAAATAACAGGTGTTTAGACATTTTAGCTGTCAAGTTTTTTAAGCAACGTTCACAAATTTTAGTTGTCTGCTGTTTAGGATTAGTTTTCTTGATTCTTCACTTACTTTTTGTGCTTTATTTGCTTGTTGGTGCTTGTTGCTTTCACATCTTTCACTACATTCAACTCATTTGCCAGGTTAGCTTAGTTTCAGCTTCACTACAGCTATTCAACAACTTCAGTAATCAGTTACCAAAATTTGCATAAGCTGCTAATTTCACAGTTCAGCTAAATGTAAAGATTAAACTGTTAAACTTGGCAAACTGAAATAACACGTGTTTAGACACTTAAGCTGTCCAGATTTTTATGCAATGGTCACAGATTTCAGTTTTTTTCTATTTAGGATTATTTTTCTCCATTCTTCACTTACTTTTTGTGCTTTATTTGCTTATTAGTGATTTTTGTTTCTACATCTTTCAACACATTCAGCTCATTTTGACAGTTTTGCTTACTTTCAGCTTCAGTTCAGCTATTAAGCTGATTCAGCTAACAGTTTAAGCTATCCAGCATTCAAACAGCATTTCTGCAAGAAATGCAATTTATCTAGTTATACATGGCAATATTTAGTGATTATTAATTATAAAATCTTCTTTCTTGAATGATTATTTTGAAATATAAAATTATTACTTTTAATTATGAAATCTTCTTGTCTTCTGGGAGTAAAAGTGTATCTAACAGAGTTCTGTGCAGAACCTTGGGGAAAAGAATGCTACTTGTTCATCTTACGTTATCTGTTGAAGCTTCAGTTCAGCTGATGAAGTCATCTGATTAAAGAGCATGCGTGCAGACGTTCCCTCTCCTGTCGGGGTAAAATATAGCAGAGCGTGTGTAGCCAGGGATATTTGCTCTGGCCATGCATATGAACTGTGGGATCTAAAAATCAGTCTATTAGGTGACGTTACACAGTTATGAGTCTTATATTCCTGCCCAATCATGTCAGGAGGGCAGATGTCTGTTGCAATGCTCACAACCAAACTTGCTTACATTCTCATGCTTTACCAGATGATGGCTGCACTTTTTAGAGAAATTAAACTGATGTAAATGTAACTGATGTAACCCATATTTCCTCACGTTACATAAATAAAGAATTTACATTTTGAATTAGAGCAGGATTTCAAATCCGAGACACATGATTGGCTGATATGACAAAACCTGTCATTGGTTCTTTGAGAAGAAAGCTAGAAATGAGACAAAATGTTTTGTACATGTAGACTTAAGTTTTGTAACTGTAGACTGAGATGTGTGTTTTGACAATTGTGATTTGAAACTTGTACAAAGAATTTTTTCTGCAAGTTACAAAATGAAAGTTTCCTGTATACATATCGAAAGTTACATTGAAAAACAATAATTACTTGCTACAAAACAAAAGTTACAGTTACTAAACCTGTTACAAGGTACAAAACTTGGTACAAGTTACATGTACTATTGTCCCAATCCTAGCTCCATAATAATTGAGGTACCAAGTATTCAAACAAAAAATAACAAGCAAAAATAAGCCAACAAGAACCGAAAAGTAAACAATTCCAACCAACAATCTCATAATGAACGTTTTTCAGACACTTGCCATTAAAAACCCAAACTGACGGAGCAACTGAGCAATCATTTGAATAACTTAAAGATTTTCTTGCATAGTATGCTGTTATTGACTCCTCCAAGCTTGTGTTTTTTGTGAAGATAAGACACCAACGTCGCGAATCAGAGACAGCGGTAGTGTCGTGTTGCTGTTAGATAATCAGGAGAGAGATGTTTGAATATCAGAAAATAGACTCCAAATCCTGCTGTTTGAAGCTCCCCTCTGCTCTGGCTAACTTCTAGTTCCCAAAACAGGAGCGCCAGAGCTTTTTTTCACCCAGAGATTGACTCACAAGATATTCATTTATACTAAAGACCACTGCAAATCGAGTGAACTTGGTCTTTAAATAAAAATAATCAGATTTTTCACCTATGAGAAATACACCTATATAAATACAACAAAAACTATATTTGTTTAGCATCTTCCTACAACCAATGGATGACCAAATTGCTGTACACCACATAATCACAGACGAACTTCATAGAAGACCAGAATGGAGGAGTAACGCCCATTGTTAGGCTGACCGGAGCACATTTGCAGAAACGTAGTGATACAGAAGACTGGATAAGCACTATCCTGCAGGTACTTTAAAAAACCAAGAATTTTTTTAATCTTCAAATGGATAAATTGATTTCCATGTGTTGTCCTCTGTTGTCTGGACCTTGTGTTAGCCTCCTGCTGCTAAGCTGTTGACCTCTGATAGAAGCTGGAAGCTTAGCCTTCATTAAGCCCGTCTTCTCTGTACAAGCTGATTATTACTGCTATTAGTTAACCCACAGCTGGACATGTGACCTGACCAACAGCCACCTAACTTTCCACACGCTGAGCTTACGCTGCAGCAGCCCTCCATTCTTGACTGGTCTGCTGTGTTCCCATATTTTTAGCTACTGCTCCTCCGTGTTGATTTTGTTCATCAAGCTTTCTCCAGATATTTCAGCTCATTTTTCCTTTTTGTGAGTAAATTCTTTTTTTTTAATATATTTTCAGGGCTACCAACACTCACACATCTGACTGTCTTCACACGCTCTCATGCCACACCTCTGATTTCTAAGCTAAATAATTGCAAGTAGAACTGCCTTCAAAGCTCTGGTACCCACAATGGGGAGGCTGCTGTACGTACACATTTGAAAACCTCACAAACACCTTACAATGATCCTCTGTGTTCTGGTTTTTCCCATCAACGTCATCCTGTGTGTTTGGGGGGGCTAACAAAATTGTGCTATTTCTTCTCCCGTTACCCCTCCTGCTCTCCTGCACCTGTTCGTTTGCTCAACAATCTGTGGTGTCCTGTCAACCAACATGTCGCCGCCTACACAATTTGTTTTGTCAGCTCACCTGTCATTTCTAACAGAAGGTGATTGACTGCGGAGACGGCGTCCACATACCAGCGTTGGATGACGAGGTGACACATTTTCCATCTGTCTCTCTGTATGAAGGTTTTAACACTAGATTTTTTTTTTGTGCCGAGGTGATTGCAGCCATCAGTCTTGGCTGAGCTCTCATTATCTCAGTGAGTTTATGTCTTTTGAGATCACAGGTGCAGTAAACGCAAAAACAAAGATCTCAGTGGGGCTACCCAGAATGTCTTTAGGTCCATTTCCTGCAGTGTGTGAACAGGGCTGCTTGTGTGTGTTGATGACGTGTTCGTGTTTTTATTTTGTGAGAGTGGACATAGAAAGGGATGAGTCACCGAGGTCGTGAAATAGCTGGATTATCTCCCAGACAAGCTGTCAGACTGAAATAATCTAGAGAAGGAAAAGACACTAATTGTATGATGAGTCAAGGTCAAAACCGCAACCAGATGTGTACAAGCTAATGTAGCTAACCACCAACCCGGTTTTCCTCATCCTAAAAGCCTTGTCAAGGAAATAATACACACATGACTAATTGTTTGGCTTCTTCATTACAGCACATTCTGTAGGCTGTAATTCAACATAATGGCTATTTGTGGCATTTTCATCACAGCCACTGGAGGTTGGATGGGTGGTCTGGATGTTCAAGTTTGGGTCACTGCTGCACACCATTGTAAATAACATCAACATAGCAAAGATGAAATGCCAAGTGCTGTAATATTTTCTGTCCACTGAGAGGACGCGGTGGAGCGCTTACGTCTTAGAAAATTATCTAAGAGCTCAAATGTCATCTCGTTTAAAATGAAATGTTTGACATTTCCTGGAAAACAAATCTGGTATCACCCACCTCTTTTATTACTGGAGTTTAACAAAAATAAAATAAAAGGTATTTTCATATTGAAAATTTTGGTGTTTGTTGTTATTTTTCTCAAATACTGAAAATAATAAATGTGATGTTAGATGATGCGTTGGCTCTTACCCCTTTTTTCCACCGGAGCCGTCAGCAGCACGTTACTGCAGCATCACGTCATAGCTGCTGATAGGAACCGCTGTGGTCAACAGAACCTTTTCCACCAGAGCCGTTAGCAGCCGTCAGCAGCGCGAGTTGGCCGCGTCTCGGGAGCAGCATGTCGCGACCTTTACGCGCCAGTTCTATTTTCTACGCGCGACGCCTCTGAAACGGGTCAAGTTCGACATTTTTGGGGAAGGAAAGACAGGAAATTGGACACGAAAACGGAGCGAAGCTCCCGAGATTTTCAGAATAAAGAAACGTACTGCCTTCCGGTTGCTTTACTTTTAAAAACAGTTACTAAATGTGCGGCCCCGTGAGAAGTTATCACCTAGCTAGCGGTCTCCTTTGTTTTTCAGGTCCGTATTGGCGATTATAAAACGGACAGAACATAAAACACAAACCTTTTGGAGCCATGTTGTAGTTTTCTCCTGCTTGTTGTTGTGTTTACTGACGAAGTCACTCGTGCGACTTCGTGCTCTGTCGGTGACAGCTGCTCCCCTGCTGCTTCGCGTCTCTTGGGAAGGGCCAAGCAGCAGTTTACGCGAGCAAGATGTGCTGCTGTAGTAATGTGCTGCTGACGGCTCCCGTGGAAAGAAGGGGTGAGACTGTGTTTGCCGTATCTTCAGAAGCGACTGAGTTATGACCCCATCGGCCTTAGGTGGTTGTGCTCTTGACTGAGAAGTAAAGCCCCATTCCCACCTGTACCGGGTCGGCCCGGGCCGGGCAGCGTAGGTTGTTTACATATCTGGGTGGCCTGGAATTTTCCTGGGCCAACCAAGGCTCATTCTCAGCCCTCTTCACAAGGGGGTCTGCTTCAGGCCGACCAGGGCCAGCACACCCACTGCTGACAGCAAATTCACACCTTCCATTAGAGCAAGCCTCTGATTGGTGGGTAGAATCAGCCCACATGAGCTTAAGGCATGCTCAATTCATTATCATTCATTATCATGCTGATTACCCAGAAGCTGAAAGTGTCTCTGACTGCATTCCTTGCATACCTAAGCAAGGATGTGTGGAAACAACCGGGCCAGGCTGGGGCCGACTGGGGCTACCCGGCCTGGGCCGACCCGGTACAGATGGGAATGGGGCTCAATAGGAACATTTAGAAAGGAAACAAAAAATCAGATTTTTGAAGTTAAAAAAGCTCACCATTGAGTGTAAACTGACGTGTTTTCTAACCTACATTCAGCAGACAGCAGCAGCAGAGATCAGTGATAAAACTGACCTCCATCAAACTGACAGCGGTGTTCCAGATACCTGCTAATCCCTCCACACACAGCAGTGGGCTCTCATACTTTCCTGTTTTCACTCATTCCTGACACCTAACCTCACTGCAAACTGTCTTCTGTTGCATGGAAGCATGACGGATAACCTCATCACCTTTGAGGAATTAAAGGTGAATTTTGATACTCAAAATGTCTTATTTGAGTCTGTTTGTCTCAGTGGTTTATTCGCCTGTTTACCAGTTTAACTGTGTAAAGATCTTGCTATCAACCATCCTTTATGAAACGTGTCATGGATTTTATCAATATGTTTATCAATAACCCGTTACCTATAGTGAAGAGAGAAGGAGACAATGAGCAGACAAGTCAAACAGATATAACTGTGGCAAGATGCTGAAGCAAATGCCCCCGAACATCTGTTCACAGACTTTATTTATAGAGAGGAAGATAAGAAAGGAGTGAGGTCATTGTGTGTATGAATACAAGAATGTGTGTGTGTGTGTGTGTGTGTGTGTGTGTGTGTGTGTGTGTGTGTGTGTGTGTGTGTGTGTGTGTGTGTGTGTGTGTGTGTGTGTGTGTGCATATGAGTGGGACAAGAATGTGTGTGTGTGTGTGTGTGTGTGTGTGTGTGTGTGTGTATGTGTGTGTGTGTGTGTGTGTGTGTGTGTGTGTGTGTGTGTGTGTGTGTGTGTGTGTGTGTGTGTGTGTGTGTGTGTGTGTGTGTGTGTGTGTGTGAGCATGCAGAGAGGCATAGAGCAGTACATATTACGTCCAGTTGGTTGAGTCCATGATCAAGAATTAATAAACATAAATTTTTCCATAACAAAACGTTACACTGATGACTTGCTGTTAGGACTCTCTCCATCACATAACTGTAAAACATTTTTAAAAATGCCACTGAGATCAGCAGTCTGTAGCCTACAGAGTTGTAAAAGAGCCTATTTCTTTCCTATTTCGCCTTCAGGCTTTTGGAGAGTACAGACGCTTTTTTTCTCCTCTCCCTCCCTCCTCATCCCAAAGCTCTTTGTCCTGTCTTTGTGTGTACGGCGCTTTCTGCATTTTTTCTGGAAACTGAAAATTATTAAAAATGGGTCTAGTCAGTTGGTCTCTCAACGCGATTGACAACATTTTTTCAACGATGAGAATGGGAGAAGGGGCTCCCGGATGCCCCTCTGGGATAAAGCCAGCTGGGTATATCAAGGACTCCTGGAAACAGTGGAACCTGATCTGCCTCTCTCAACTGTCGCTGGGTCCCGGGCTCAGCTGGCTAGGGGGTGGGAGGCTGCGGGCAGGCCTGTGGGCTTGCCGCTGATATCTCCCGGGACTCTGCTGGCTGCTGGTTGTGACCCCCCAGTGGTGATCCTCTGCGCCTCTCGCGGGGGGCAAGGGCCTTTCTGGTTGCAGTCTCCTTGGGGTTCCTGTATTCTGGGGCAGTGCCTGGATCTCTGGGACTTGGAGCTCCCTCCGTCTCCTACGCATCTTTGGGGGGCAGATCTGTGGCCCCTCACACTCTCTATTGGATGCTCCTATAGAGAAACCTTACATATACAAGCGTGTGTACACACACAGGTGCTCACATGGTGCTCTCATAAGTATGGACTTGGGCACGTTCAACACATGTCTTAAGGCTGTGGTTGGCACTAAATGCACTCTATGATTCATCATCGTGTGATTGTTCAGTTAAACAATGTTGACTGTATATTTCATCAAGTTGATGCAGTGATAGCTTGATCTTGTTGTATTGTTGTGTGTCCCATTTTTAAATTTTTAAAAGTTTTTCTCTTTCTCTTTCTGCAGGTCTAGAAGCAGACTCTTGTTCATTATTGTTTATTTTTGTGCGACAACGTCCTCTGCTGCCCGCGGATAAAAGAAGGAAGTGACGCCACCATCGGCATCAGCCTGATGATGTTTGCAGCCGCAAACGAAACGTTGCAGGTAAATAAACCTTTTCTGTGTTTTAAAAAGAACTGAAAGATGGAAGCTGAGAAACATTCTCGTTAGTCTCCGATTTATGAAGCGTAGATTGCGTGCAGCTGTGCGTACTCCATGTTTGATAGATCACAAACCTACTTGGGTAAGTACATTTTTTTTGCTGAGCTGATGTACGGTTTTAGTAAGGATTCTATGCAATTTATGATAAATGAGACCCCTGGTCACTAGTACAGTTTAGTGTGCAAATGATGCCTTGGCTGCTTTCAGTCCAACCTCCTCCCAGTTTACTACCACATTAGAACATTTGAACTCCCAGTTAACTTACATCAATAAACATACGACTCCACGAACCTCCACTCTCGGCATTCATAAATACTTCAAAGGCTTCCTGAAGACCTCCCCCAGTGGCATGTCATCTCACTACAGCCTGTCAGTTGCTGCTTTTCATAACCAGTTTAGGAGATTAGGAGGTGTCTGCTGCTGTCAGAGTATTCAAGCCAGCAAACGCTGATGAGAGGAAGTTTATGTCTCCAGCGATTCTTCCTTCACAAAACTCAGCCACTATAAGAAACAATCTCCTAAAATAAAATTTACTGTCACATTATGGAGTCCGACTGAGGAGCCCAACTACCTTTAACCTTTTATCCTTCACCAATGAAGGCGATGCCCTCTCGACATAGCAGCTGAACCAATTTCACCCTGCATGCCCAGACTGATCCATATCAATTATAGCCTCAATATTAGTGTATAGTGCACTCACATGCTCCAGTCTCCTCATCTCCACCTGTACTTTAATGGACTGAGCCACCAGCAGACCCTTTGCCTCTCCATGAGCAGTCCTGTGTGTAGAAGAAGCTCCAGGAAAGGATTAGAGCTGGTTGCCATGGTGCCTTTTAAAACCTTGCAGGCTTTTCACAAACTACCCGTTTTGTCTCATAATAGAGAAAACCAAAAGGTGTTTGGGTGTCGTTTATGTTGGAGGACACTAGTTGAAATTGCTTCTTTGATTTCTAATTGTATACATAGGTTTATGGAGGAAAGCCTTGTCTGTGTCTGGATGTTTCTGCAGCTCTCCTCCAAATGACATTAATTCCAGTTCATCAGCTGATGCTTGGCTGCCATTGCTCTGTGTCAGAAGGCATTTATATTAAATAACTATTCTGTTCTTCATCAGAACACTGACACATTGCTGTCTGAGGCAGAAGTGGCTTTGCCTTACGCTTTGAAACCCAAATTTATTTTTTCCTACTTTAGTTATTTTATTCAGTCCTTAAGCATGGCATGATCCTCGTATTTCTAAATACATTTTGCCCCAGAATGTATGGATATTAGTGGTGTGCATCTCTACCCTCCTCACGATTCGATCTGATTCTGATTATTTGCCTAACGATTCGATTTGAGTCTGAAATGCATCACGATTCTTCACACAAAAATTTTCATTACTTAATAAAAGCAGTAGAATAGTTTTCAATTGCTTTTTGATTTCGAAATCCCTGAAAAACAACATTCATCTATTCACTATAGTGAGCAATAATTTTTAAAGTGTGCTGCCTATAATTACTTAAATAATATAAGAAATAATGTTTTCGGTAGAGCAGCTTTAAGATAGAATATTACTGAACTTAAAAATAGTAAACAAATACTGTGTTAAGTGATTCTTTCACATCCAGGATCCCAAAACCGAAATTAGCCCAGACATCTGATTTAAATGTAACGGGTACATCTTTGATTACTGGTAATGTTGGGCTGGCCCTGTATCCCTGTCTGCCTTTTCTGTTTTAAATTGGCGCTAGGGCAACGCAGTGCGCATGTCATTGCAACTTTGCCCCCAGAAGTAATTGTAAAACCTCAAAACTTTATTGTCCTCGCATAGACATAGACATAGGGAGAAAATCTCATTATGTCACGTTGCTGCATCGATGCGGAATCATGCACGGCTGAATCGCGATGCATCTTAGAATCGATCATTTTTCCCACCTCTAATGGATATTTATCTCTACCTAGTGGACGTTGGCTTTTCTTGTTTACTACAAGGCACTGGCTCTATAAGTTTGAAAACGACACTGTACTAGTTGATCGAACCCCTACTTCACACTGGAGGCATCAGCGGCGTGGAAGAGCAGTGGAACAGTTTACTCACGAGTGTCGCTGTGAGCCAGTACACACCAGGAGAATCTCAGCCACGGGACGGCTTCCCTGCCATGCTCCTCACTGGACTCGCAAGATCACAAAATGACTTGATTCTTCAAAGGTCACGTTTTTCTTTTTTTTTATGCCTTCCGCCACTAACCAAAAAGAATATCGCTGTTTGATGTCATATATGATGTTGTTTCGCTCCTCTGCCAGGATTAAAGCTATTAATACACACCGCTGCTCCTCTTGAATGGTGCTGGAAGTAAGCCATTAGGTCACATGTTTTGATGTAATCTACATAGATATGAAATCTGTCACACCCTGTCCTGTCACCCCGTTTTGTTCAGCCTTGTGTCTCCATTAATTGCTCCCAACTGCCTCTCGTTTCCCAATCACCTTAGCTCCCGGCCCTGGTGTATTTAAACCCCTTCTGTTCTGTGTCTTGTGTCGGATCATTATTTCATTGTCCAGCGTGTCTCATATTAAATAAGTGTAAGAATGCCTACCTGTCTGCCTGTTTCCTCCCCGGTCTGGATCCTCGCCTCACCTCGGCTTCATTCACTGGCACGTGTGACAAAAATCGCATCGCTGCAATAGTCTTTTATTTTGACAATTACCTAGGGCTTTACACTGAAACCATGTGTGATTTACTGGCTAGCCCTATGTTAACTGTGAAAATTGATGTCCCAGAAGCTGCTCGCTGCTAAATTAGAACCCGATTCTATCTTTAGCTGCGCCTTTTCTCAGATGTGCCTGACAATTTCCACATTACAGCTGGCTTGAATCACCCCCATAGACTATTATAGATTTTATTTGAAGCAGCAAAGTTGTAATGCCGTTTAGCACCACTAATGCTTCCAGTGTGAAGTAAGGGTTAAAGGTTGAATAGGGAGCCTAAGTCTCCTCCCTTTCCGGTTGGCTCATGGGTCCCCAGAAGAACGAAAAAAGTAATGCTAGTTAACGGGGCTAAAAACGGTATTTTCTAATCCACTTTGCCTTACGCCCTTGATCACATATATGTTGTACTGCAATTTAAATGAAAAGTAATGATGGGTGTTTCGACCACGCCAGTCACGTACTTTGAGATTTATCAGTATCGTACAGGATAAGGACTCATTTCTACTAATACATTTATTTTACAAAACTATTTACTGTTAGAACATCTTGTGGGCTCAGAATCAGCTGCTTGACTTGTCAAGTCTGCCATTTATTTATTTTTATTTTTTTTTCTTTAACGTGTCCTGTCTTGATGTGAAGCAAACAGAATTGATGTCTGAATGCTGGTAACAAGCCTTAAAGATTTACTCTCAGGTGGAGCATCAAAGCGTCTGCTTTTAATGTCACGCCTGATACTTAAAACTTTGTTATTGTTTTTGAATGCTTTGTAATTCCGACCAGACACGGAGTCAGAGGTGAAAGAGAAAGGAAAAGACAAAAGGTGGGGAGAGAGGGGAGAAGGGGGTGGGGTTCCACAAAAATAAACAATAATGAACAAGAGTCTGCTTCTAGACCTGCAGAAAGAGACAAGAAAAAAAAGGAGAAAAAAAAAGCAAACAAAATGAGACACAACAACAATACAGCAAGATCAAGCTATCACTGATGAAGAAATATGTTACGACTGGTGATGGTATGGGTGAAGGACGTCGTAACATAGAAGGCGCGGGGTCAGGATTTTAAAAGCAAACCGTTTTATAACAAATAAATGACAAAACTCATGCACAGTTACTAGGCCAGTTAAATACAAGAACTAAAGGTGACCTCCTAAATAGGGAAAAACAAGGACTGGAGAGAACACGCAAGCTGGAGCTCAGCTCCACTAATATACTAAACCAATAAGTCAAAAGTAAACTCACCAATTCTGCTATTCCCCCTTTTTGGGTTAAAATAGCAAGCAAACTGATTTAGTCCAAACCAACTAAAGGCGAGCACAGGGCTGTTAAGGTAATGGAAACAAAACAGTAATAATTACTAAATCAAAGTGCTTTTGAGCCAACACACCAAAAGCAATACTTATGCTCCACTGAGCACACACAACCAACAGGTTAACTTAAACTCTACAAAGGCTCCACTGAGCAAACACAGGAAGAAGGTTCAAACTAACCTAACTAACCTATTTCCTACCTCTATTGAGCACACTCTCCAAAAGTTCCACAGAACTCAGAGTAAAACCAAACTCAATGAAATTACATAGGTTCAAACTAAGTGTGTCTAGATTTCATCCACTCTCTAGGTATTCCCCACTCTTTCTGCCCCCTGGTTCTTCTGGCCGCGCCCTTTTAAAAACTCAGAAGCTGATTAGGGATTGAGCGCAGCTGGAAGGCGGGAAGGAGGAGCAGGAGCGGAGGAGGGGCTGCCCCTCTCTGCAGGGAAGTGGAGCAGGAACAGGAGCAGGTAGAAACTGGTGATCATAACAAAATATATAATCAACATTGCTTAACTGAACAGTCACACGATAATAAATCACAGTGCATTTAGTGCCCACCATAGTCTTAAGACCTGTGTTGAACGTGCCCAAGCCCATACTTTTGAGAGCACCATGTGAGCACCTGTGTGTGTACATGCGCTTGTTTATGTAAGGTTTATCTATAGGTACGTCCAATAGAGAGTGTGAGGGACCATAGATCTGCCCCCCAAAGATGCGTAGGAGACGGGGGTAGCTCCAAGTCCCAGAGATCCAGGCGCTGCCCCAGAACACAGGAAACCCAAGGAGACTGCAACCAGAAAGGCTCCCGCTCCCCTCGAGAGGCACAGAGGATCGCTCCAGGGGGCCACAACCAGCAGCCGGCAGAGTCCCGGGAGACATCAGCAGCAAGCCCTCAGGCCCGCCCGCAGCCTCCCACCCCCTAGCCGGCTGAGCCCGGGACCCAGCG